AAAAAAAAAAAAAAAAAAAATCTCAGCACAGTGCTGAGTCACAGTGCTGGGCCCCTTGTTCATCTGGAAGAAGAGGATGGTTGGCAGGGTGTGTTGAGTTACAGGCACCTATGAGAAATGTCTGGTTCTTGTGCTTACGAGAAAGGTCTAAGTGGAGATAACAACTGAGGAGTCACTACTGCATTGGAGGTGGTAGCAAAAATCCCGAGTGTGTTGAGGTTGTCCAGGTAGAGTGAGCTCCCTGAGGACAGAGCCTAGAGGACAAAGCCCTGAGAGGACCAACAGAAAGGGTAGGCAGACAGGCCTGCAAAGATGTCTGGGAAGAACAACTGTGGAGAGGCTGCAGCAAAATCAGGAGAGAGAGCTCCCCTGAAATGGAAGAAACTTCCAAGAAGGAGGCAGGAGTCAACAGTGTCAAATGCAGCTGAGAAGTCTTGCAAAATGAGATGTGGATTAGATTTGACACCTGGGAAGTCACTGGGGCCCTTAGGAGCAGCTCATTCAGTGGCCTGTGGGAACAGGAAAGGGTGGTCCATATATCTGTCATGCTTGGCAGCATAGAGAACTTTGGAAACCAAGGAAGCATCTTTACCTGTGTGAACTGGCTACCTTCACCACCTTGTTTTCATTGTTTCTCTAGCTGAAACACACACATAGCTAGTCTGAATCAATACAATAGTTTGGGATCTATTTTAGTACTACAGAAACTACTGCACAATTTTTTCAGCTGGGCACAGTGGCTCGTGTCTATAATACCAGCACTTTGGGTGGCCGAGGCGGGAGGACTGCTTGAGCCCAGGAGTTCAAGACCAGCCTGAGCAACATAGCAAGACCCTGTCTCTACCAATTTCAATATAAAATATAAAGTTAAATTTAAAAATGTTTTTCTGGATTTATACACAGTACTATCTCACACTTTAATTTGAGGTATTGAACTTGCAAGCTGTAAACACTTGAACTGGTTCGGTTTCATATACACTTGGTTTTTTATAGTAATACTAGTCCCATATCACTGGCCAATTTGGCAACAACTGGCTGGAGTACCAGTCACAACTTCATTTGTGCCACAGTCACTTCCACTTCCATCACTGACTCTGATTTTTCTTTTTCTTCTTTTTTTTTTATTGAGTAGGAGTCTCACTTTGTCGCTCCGGCTGGAGTGCAGTTGGCACGCTCACGGCCACCGCAGCTCGACCTGCTGGACTCAGTCGATCCTTCCGCCTCAGCCTTCCAAGTAGCTGGAACTACAGTGTGCGCCACCACGCCAAGTGAATTTTTAAAAAATTATTGCAGAGACGAGGTCTCCTCAAGTTGCCCAGGCTGGTCTGAAACCCCTGGGCTCACCTCCCTAAGTGCTGGGATTACAGGTTTGAGCCACCATGCCGGCCTGATCCTGAATTTTCTTACGCTGGGTTAGCCTAGCTTCAACCCTTTTGCTCACTCATTTGTTGGTCTCTTTTCTCTCCCCCAAGGCTTAACTGTTGAACAGAGCATTTATTGCATACATTTATACCATGCTTTCCGGCTCCTCTACAAAGCACCTTTCATCGCATACACTTCACAACATCTTCACGGAACGCAGGATGCATCCAGTGCGAGTCTGAAAAGGGCGTGTTAAGGCCGGCGCTCGGGGGAACGGCAGCCCCACGAGTGCTCCGCGGCTGCACATCCCAGTGTCAGGAGTTACTGAGTGCTCCCGACGAGGCCGAAGCGCGAGAGCACGCGCAAGGTTTCCTGGGAAATGTAGTTGAATGTTCGGGCTAGAACTACAAATCCCGGTACGCACCGCGCTGCAGCTCCGAAGGTGAAGCTACTTTCTGATAAATCTGAATCTTGTTTGTGCTGTGGGGAAAGCCGCGCAAGCCTTATTCAGTTTTTACAAGAGGCTTTGGGGAAACTCGATAGCTCTGTTTCTGGGTGTGCCACAAGCCGACTTTAGCTTCCGCACCCGCTTCATTGTGGCGAATCTGCCGCTGCGGAAGGTGGCTAGCCCCCGAGAACCCCACCGAGAAGCTTGTGGAATCTGCTGTGGAAAGAAGGACGCGAGGGTTGCTCGGGGAGCCACTGTCATGGCGTCGGCTACCTCCAGGGCCGGGGGCTCGGCGCCTGAGGCGGCGGCTTCGGCCGAAACCCCGCTGCAGTACAGCCTTCTTCTGCAGTACCTGGTGGGGGACAAGCGTCAGCCCCGGCTCCTGGAGCCTGGGAGCCTGGGCGGGATCCCGAGTCCGGCCAAGAGTGAGGAGCAGAAGATGATCGAGAGGGCGATGGAGAGCTGCGCTTTCAAGGCTGCGCTGGCCTGCGTGGGAGGTGAGGCCGGGCGAGTGGGGCCCTTGGGAGGCTGAGGGCTTGCACGGCAGTGGGGTTCTCTGCCAAGAAGACCACGCGCCTGGGAGCGAGGGACCTTCGGGCCTCGACCTTGACGGCATCTCGCCCCCTTCAGTGAACTCGGGCAACGCCTCTCCTGTCCCCGAGGTCAGTTTTCGCTTATGGAAGTTGAGAAAATCAGTACTGTGGTCGGGGCCTAGAAATTACAAAATGGTTGACTTCATCCATTCATTTGTTCGTTCACTTAATGCATTACACATATTGTTACTAAGCAACTGTCATGAGCTAGGCGGTGGAGATGCAGGATGAAAGACAAGAGCCTTGTTCTTCTGACGCTAATGTTTTACTACCTAGAGAAGACTGTTGAGAAGGAGCCTGGCAGAAGAGTGCTGCAGGAGTACGAAGCTGCAAATGCAGCGGTCCTTAAGACAGCAACTGCCTTGAGGTTTGAAAAACAGAAAGGCCAGTGTGACTAGACAACAGCCAACAAGGGGGAATGAAGTCTGGACTTGGCCTTTTTTCCCCCTTTTCTTAAGCCTTTTAAGGATTTGAGAGTATCCAGTATCCCTCATGTGTGCCGGGTAAAGAGGTTGGCATTTGCGGATGAATTTAAGTTTCACTGAGAATGAAAGATGTTTAAGAAATGAATATAGTGAGAGTACAAATGAAAAAAAGTGAAGTATAGTAGAAAGAAGAAAGATCTTTTTTGACCGGGGAAGGTCACAGAAGAGTGATACTGGAACTGTATCTTGAGGGATTGTGAAAACACAGGTAGATGAAGAAGAGAAATGCCATTTCAGTTTCAGGCTGGGTGGGGGGATTTGGGCTTTTTGCTTATAGGCACTAGGGAAGTAATTGATTCTTTTTTTTTTTTTTTTTTAAGTTGGAGTCTCACTCTGTTGCCCAGGCTGGAGTGCAGTGGCACCATCTTGGCCACAGCAGCCTTGACCTGCTGGCCTCAGGTGATCCTTCCACCTCAGCCTTCAAGGAGCTGGAACCACACGTGTGTGCCACCATGCCCAGCTGATTATTTATTTATTGTAGAGATGAGGTCTCACCAAATTGCCCAGGCTGGTTTTGAATCCCAGGGTTAAGGCAGTCCTCTTGCCTTTGCCTCCCAAAGTGCCGGGATTACGCACCTGGCCCGATTTTTTTTTTTTTAAGAAGAGTAACAGGTGATAATGAATATGATGAATCAGGGTAGAGTTGAGGTAGGGTAGCTAGCATAGCTTGGACATAGGTAGATGAGTTTCTTACAGACATAACTTAGATGATTAAAAGACCAGATGATTGGGCACCAGGGCACTGACTTAGCAGAACACAGTTCTCAGTATCTGCACTGACGAGACCCCCTGGATTCAACCCCGGAATGTGGGGAGGTTGGTATACTTAGTTAGATAAACCGTAAAACAAGACAGTAAGAAAATTGTCAGAGACAGTGGAGCATGGTGTTCTTTAAGAAGAAGCTTAATCTGTAAAATAGTGACCTTTTCCACTGTCTTAAGAATTTCATGACACAAACTTAAAAATAAACGATAAAAAATAAAAATGTATGCTCAATAAAGCTTGTGATTAACAAATTGTTACCACATAGTCCACATATACACAGATGTTCACTTAAAAAAATAGATTATATAATCATCACTAAGATGTATGAAACATGTACTAACAAGGCAATGTGTCCTTTCTCTTAAGACACCCATGTTTTCTCTTGAACATGTTTTTCCTTCCTAATAAATCCTATCATAAACTATACTTTGGATTCACTCAAATTCTTTTCTGTGGAAAAGCCAAAAACCCATGGAACAGCTACACCCCATACCACCTAGCACCAGAGTGTGGTGAAAGAAAGAAAAATCTGTGGTGGGTGGGCAGGCCATAGAGGAACTTTGCTAGACTGAAGCTTAATGAGGGCATGGACTGGATCTTTGTTCACCATTGTGCCCGACCGTAATGAATCTCTTACATAATTGTTGAAATGATGAATGGAATCTTTCTAGTGCTCTAGGGTTGAAATGATGAAGGCTCTAGGCTAAAGTGATAATTGTGGACATAGTCAGGGATGGACATATTTGTAAAACTAGGATGAAAGATTTTGCTGTCTTTTATGACTGACTGGTTGTAAGAGGAAGCAAAGAAACAGAAACGTTCCTAAGGTTTGGAGGTGTGACTGAAAAGAAGGAGCCATGGCAGGAAAATCTGGAGGGAGAGGCATATGATTTCTCTGAACTTATATCAACCATGAGGTGATGAGTGGGCATCCATATGGAAATGTTCAGCAGACTCAGAAAGGTCAGATATGGAGAGCAATGTGGGATTTGCCATTTGGTAGCTGTGTGACCTGGGGGAAGTTACTTAACCTCTCTGAGCCTCGGTTTCTTTATCAATAGAAAGGAGAAGGGCTGGGCATAGAGGCTTACATCTGTAATTCCTACACTTTGGGAGGCTGAGGCAAGAGGATTGCTTGAGGCAAGGTGTTTGAGACCAGCCTGGGCAACATAGTGAGGCCTCATCTTTAAAGAAAAAGAAAGAAAAAAAAAAAATAGCCAGGTGTTGTGGCACGTGCTGTAGTCTTAGCCACTCAGGAGGCTGAGATGGGAGGATCGCTTGAGCCTAGGAGTTTGAGGCTGTGGTGAGCTGTGATCATGCCACTGCGCTTCAGCCTGGGTAACAGTGAGACCCTGTCTCTAAAAAAAAAAAAAAAGGGGAAAGAAAGAAAGGAGAGGATAGAGGATAGGTGATAGCTTCTACCTTAGAGGATTATTGTGAAAAATAAAGGAGGCCATGACTATAAAACCCCAGAGTAGAGCACCTGGCACATGGTGAATACTAAATGGCTATCATGAAAGTCACCATGGTCAAGGTAGTAACTTGCAAAGTTGACAGTTGAACTTGGTAGCTGGTTTACATTTGAGAGAGTAGAGAGTATAGACAGAACAAAAGGTTAAAGATGGAATCTTGAGAAATGTTAGGAAATGAAGGGAGGAAGACATCCACGAGGAGACAAAGAAGATGCTGTTGATAAGACAGACCCTGGATTGTGTGATGTGAAAACCAGGCAAGTGGAGAGTTTGAGTGGCAAGAGGGGAGTGTCTGCATTGATGACCACCCAAAAGTATGATCCCAGTGCAGTAATGCAGAAAACATGCCAGAGAAATCTGCATCTCTGTGTTTGCTTCTAGGATTTGTCTTGGGAGGTGCATTTGGGGTGTTTACTGCCGGCATTGATACCAACGTGGGCTTTGATCCCAAGGATCCTTACCGTACGCCGACCGCAAAAGAAGTTCTTAAAGACATGGGGCAGAGAGGAATGTCCTACGCCAAAAATTTTGCCATTGTGGGCGCCATGTTTTCCTGTACTGAGTGTTTGGTAGAATCTGTAAGTGTCTCTGCCTTCTAAGAAATCCTTGCCGGCTGCTATCTCATGACATTTTTTTTTGGCTTTTTATTTTTTATTTATTTTTTTGAGTTGGAGTCTCACTCTGTCGCCCAGACTGGAGTGCAGTGGCCGCTCCCGGCCACCGCAGCCTCGACCTGCTGGGCTCCGGCGATCCTTCTGCCTCAGCCTTCCATGTAGCTGGAACTACAAGCGTGCGCTACCACGCCCGGCTCATTTTTAAATTTATTGTAGAGATGAGGTCTCACCAAGTTGCCCAGGCGGGTCTCGAACATGCGGGCTCAGGCAATCCACTCACCTCGGCCTCCCAAAGGCGCGGGATTACAGGCTGACCCACCGAGCCCGGCTTTCTCACGACTTTTAAACGCTCTTAATGTTGTTACTAGAAAGCAGATTAGAAACATCAGATATGTTCTAGATTGAACTTCCATAAAATAATCCCTAATGTAAACTTTTTGTGTTTTTATAATACAGGCTTGCATGATTTTTCACTTCTGTAGGCTAGAAGTTAGTTAATGATTTTAAACATGAGACTTACTGGCAAGTTCTAGAGGAAATCTTGATCTCTTCTCAAACGCTGGACTTCATTTCAGTGCTCTGGTGCCACCTGCAGGAAGCATCTATGAACACATTCATATTTTAGGAACTATGCTTTTGAAACAGATTAGATTTCCTTTGGGAAGAGACTAAATTAGCCAGCTAGAAACCCTGTGTATTTTTCCTTACTCGTCATGTTTGGCTTGTTTTTTTGGCTCTAAACTGCGCTCCTCTACCCACAGTACCGGGGAAAATCGGATTGGAAGAACAGTGTCATTAGTGGCTGCATCACTGGAGGAGCCATTGGTTTCAGAGGTTAGTAAGCAGCTCTCTCATGGTTTTCCTTTGTGGTCTTGGACAACGTGCTGAGGTTGACATTTCCAAACATAAGAGTGTTCCAGGGACACTTGATATTCTTCCCTTCTGACAAATCTTGTTTGTTTCTATGTTAACTCAGTTTTAGAAATGTGCTAGTATCTACATCAGGGTTTCTCATCCTTGTCACTTGTAACATTTTGGATCAGATAGATCTTTGCTGGGGTTGGATCTGTCCTGTGTATTGTGAGATGTTGAGCAGCACCCCTGGCCTCTACCCAGCAGATGTTAGTAGCACCCCTTCAGTTGTGACAACTGCCTCCCAGTGTTGCCAAGAGTCTCCTTAGGGACAAACCATCCCCAGGTAAGCCCACTGATCTAGATCTAGCTTAGAAAAAGAACTGCCCCCATATTGAATCTATGGGGAAACTTTTTCATGAGGAGTATTCCCTGGAGTGTGGTGGTATGTGGGACATACAGAAGCATGGTGAGAGCCGTTCAGCCCAGGGTAGCCCATCAGGCCACGTAGCAGACGATGCAGAACATCTCACTCCAGCATTTCAAGCATTTAGACATTTCTCTTAAGCCCATTTCATTGTCAGTTTTAACTTTGGATATAAATTAGAATGGTACTGTATTTCTGCAATTGGGGATTTTTAGGTTTCTGCCCGTTGGAAGCTAAGTACAGATATTTTAGAAATGCTAGATTATTAGCTGTAAACAACAAAAGAAAAAACCAGTCAGCTCCTGCTCCTCCCTGGTGGCAAGTCTGTGAAGGAGAGGTGGAGGGTACGTGTGGTAGAGGTCCTTGGTGACTTGGTCTGCTAGAAGCAGCAGTACTTACTGCTGAGCCATGTTCCATCTGTTGTACCCTTACTTGGAGCAAAAAGCTTGTATTTTCATCCTCTGAGAGTCAGGGTGATTTGCCATCATGAAAGCCTGCTTTTGCCCCTTGGCCAGCCATTGGTGATCTGTAGAGTCACTGCTCTGTCGTCTTCCCATTGCTCGACTTTGTCAGGGCCTCTTTGAGAAGCCCAGCTCTCTTGACAACTGCTTTGATCACCTTCCCAGGAATGTATTCCATAAACAAATCAGGGTAAAAGGCCATATGCTTTCATTTGATTCCAAGGGCTGGTTCTCTTAACCAGTTTCCTGCCTCTGAGGGATTATTTCCATAAGACTGGAATAGTCATTCTTTGAGAAAAGCTAAACAAATGTATAGTTAAATCCAAGCACTCTGGATTAGATTGTATAGACTGCCTCATGGAAGGCTTACAGTGCTGTGATAGGTTGAATGCTTAGAACACTTAAGCTGGCTTCTTTATACCTGCGGGTGTGCAGACTTTTCATGAACGCAGCCTGGCCCAGCAGCTGTCACCACCGGTAATGTTCTTTCTGTTTGCTTTGCAGCTGGCTTAAAGGCTGGAGCCATTGGTTGCGGAGGTTTTGCTGCTTTCTCTGCTGCAATTGATTATTACCTGCGGTGAACTAACCGCCTGCGGGGAAGGATGACGCCAGCCCCAGATCAGAGCTGGGAGAACAGTTTCTGTACTGCTCCAGGGCCTTGGCTTCAGGGACTGAAGACATTTGTGTTCCCTCATATAGTTGGTTTTGTGAGGGAGCTGCCTGGCTGCTCTTTGCCTCCAGCCTTCGAAGCAACCACCCTCTGCTGCTCTTGGACTCCAGCCAGGTGTGGCAGGGGATGTGCCCTGTCAGAGCCTCTTCTAGAGCAGATCAGGAGACAGTGCATCGATCTGCAGGCTCAGTCCTGACCACAACTGGCCCTCTAGGTTGTTCCGTGCTGTGGGCAGGGCTGACCGCATCTCTACATGTACCCAGGAAGCACCAGGCAACCACCCATCTCACATACCAGGGCAGGGCAAGGCACATTTATGCCATTCAGCCAATTACGTTGTTTGTTTTGTGTTCTGCCATCCCTGTTAAAAATATTTGTATATTTATATTACAATTTAAAAGGTGGTTTATTTTTATTTTTTGAATTCCACAATTCCAAAAATAGTGCCAGTGGCCCAAAGATTGAACATCCAAAGGGAAAGAATGACAAAGCACCTGAGAAGCCTGAGAACATTAGGTTATCAAGGTTTGCAGAGGACTATAGCATCCTCACCAAAATTGGTACATAAGCCAGGGACTCTTGCAAAAAGCCCAGCTTAGCTCCTTCCTTGGGTGCATTGAAATCCCATGCATAAGCCCTGCTGGCCTCTTAAAACTGTCCCTTGGGCTGGCTGGTAGACTTGCCTGCAGTTTGCTGAACCACATATTGGCTTAATGATGCGACTTCTGGGCGAGGCCTAGTGCAAGGACACATGTGAAGGGTTCTGCCCTGGTCATCTTGGTGACTCAATCACAGCAGCTACTGGCTAAGATCAGATGTTGGGGGACTGTGGGCCTCCACCTTTGTTCTCTGGAATCAGTGAGGTTTTTGTTTTTTTAACATGTTAATGTTTTTGACTTGACCTTGTGGTCTTTTTCTGGCAACAACAACTCGGCCTAATTGTTTTAAAGGCAAAAGTAGCCATTTATAATGGCTTTACCACACGCTTTATTTGGCACTTTGGTAGAGAGACAAAGTTGATGAACTCAGGCTTTTGTTCTTGGGTGGGGGCTGTATAAATTCTGGTCACCTTCAGCCAGTGGTGATGTTTCTCCTTTTTGCAGCTGTATAGCAATTGCTCTACCTTTTCTTTTGCTTCCTTCCTAGTCTGTTCTGTCTTGGAGCCCATCCACCCTTATCCAGAATTCAGACTCAGCTTCAACAGCCTACCACCTGAGTGTGCATTTGTATGTGAGTGCTAATGTCAAACCCAGCTGGTAACACCTTCCTCTGGCCTGCTGTTTTCTTGAAATGAATGTGGGCAGCACTTGTGTCCTTCTATGGTGAATTCTTTAGACTGCCCCTTCCAGCCTTACAGCCCCGAGGCTTCATCACACTAGGCCTGTTGGAGCATTCCCCAGAGCTCTGAGAATAAGTTCAGGAGTGTCCCCCACTGTCCCTCAGTCCATCACCGTCTCTGGAAGCACTACGAAGCAGGGGCAGTCTGACACTCCTATTAGCTACCTGTCAGGTGCAAGGATGCCTGGGATCTTCTACCAGCTGGTCTAGCACACAGGACTGAATACATGAAATGCTGCCCTCACAACTGTCTTGGAAAGATGAGCCCCAAGGCTGCCAGTAGCCAGCAGTTCAATAAGCCAAGCATTGTCCACATTGACTATTCACTCCAGATGAGATGAATAGCTTCCTGTTTTAGATGGCTAGGGAGCCAGTATGAGCTCATAAACCAAACAGCAATTTTCAGAGACATCTGTTCTTGATCTCTAGAATAAACTCAGTATCCAGTGGCTTAGGCTGGTGGGAGCCTACGTTAACCCCACTGACTCTCCCAAAGGAAGGGTGGGGCCCTCTGGGGGATCCAGCTCCTCCAAGCAGATTAGACCAAAAGACTGCCCCAAAGAATGTCACTTCCAAGGAAAATGTAGAGAAAAGTTTACGTAAAAGCTTCCTCATCAATGGACAACTTCCTGCCTTCTCTCTGAGGTGTATTGGTGGCCAGGTCCCTGGTGAGACATGACACTTGCATTTTGTAAAAGGAACTGTAGCAGTAAATGTGGCAGGAAGACCAGAAACAGCCTGGCTGGTATTAATAGTTGACCTGGAGGACTTTGTGAAGAACAGAGAGGGCTTGGGCTCACCTTCCCTCAAACTCTGCCAGTCCCCAGGGGCCAATGGGAAGGCTCAAGGAGAGTGAACTAGGTAAACAGATTCCTGGAAACTCACATCTGGATGCAGCTGGAAGAGTTAAATATTTAGATTGGTGGTCTTCCCTGGATTCCCTGAACACAAACATCCACACCACAGGGCTGAGTTTTGTGCAAATGTTGGGGCTTTGCATTTTTTTATTAACATTTTCCTCTCACATGGTTTACATCAATTTATAATAATCTACATTAAGTTGAAACAGAACGTAGACAAAAAAAATATATCCTTACCAACTTATTAAATTCAAATATTAATGAAGGGTTCCATCCTACCTGTATCAGCAAAAACTAGCAGCCGTGAGTCATGGCCCAGCAAGGACAGGCGTGCCTGCGATTCCCATAGCCTGGCTCTGGGCTCCTGTTGGCACAGCCCATCCTGCTGGGCACAAGTGACTGGGGGTTCTGGGCTGCACAGTGCCTGTCAGGAGAACCTGCTGGGCATTTCCTTGGTGCAGCTTTGTCCAGGTCCGTCGCCTGACCCTCCCCACTCTGGGGTGGAATTTATAAATATGAGCCTTTCGCATTTCTGGGCCCTTCTGGCCTTTCTCCCCTTCTCGCATTGCCTAAGCAAGCTTGGGGCTGCAGGGCTCCCTGATGCTGAGAAACAAACGCTCCTTGTTTGGGAGGTGGGAGGGGCCCAGTTGGGCTGTCACCAGCTCTAGCTGGGCCTGACTCATTACTGTCCATGCTTTGGAAGTGAGCAAGAGCCTTCCAAGCCACATACCAACACTCAGCTGCCAAGCAGAGACTTCAGGAGTGGTCAGACGCTGGATCTTTAGACTCAAGTGGCTTTCCTTTTCATTTACTACCTGTCCCAGGGAGCAGGGCTCCTTGCTAAGCTGCTGACAGGCAGGTAGTCAGTTTCCTTCCTCTTAGGCATTTCTTCCCTCCGACATGCACGGAATATGTACCATTCCACCGAAGGCAACAGGTGTAAACAGGATCAAAAAGGGCCCTGTCTCTCACTGAGCAGGTGCTACAGCTCTAGGGTCAGCAAACCCTTCTTCTCTAAGACATAGCCCTGAGCACAAGCAATGGGAGTTGTTCTCCCCAGTCCTGAGGCTCTAGAATCTACTCTGCCACTTACAAGAGCCTGGAGCTGGGAGTGTCTGCTCCCTTAGGCTGATTGCCGGCAGGCTAGCAGCTGCTGCTCTGCTGGGAAACTGCACTCTGGGAATACATCTCACTCCTCCCCAGCACTGAGAGTGGGTTGTCACGCTGTGAGTGGAACCTGCTGATGCACAGTCTGGAGTACAGCAACCACAAGGAGAGCCCCCAGCAAGAGCCAGTCCCAAGAGAGGCAGGTGCCTGTGATTCCTCATCCTCTCCCGACTTCTGGGGTGTCCCAGAGTTCACCCAAAAGGCTGCGTCCAGAAGCCAGGGGCAGGGCTGAGGGCAGCACCATGAAGGCCGGCTACTGCTGGGTTGTGCCTTTCCTTCCCAGGTCCTGGAGTGCCCAGGGCAACTGCCCCGTGGCAGTGCGTGGCTGTGGTGGAGAGCGTGTGAAATCTAAGGCAAGGGTGCCACGAGGTCCTGAGGTGCTGGGGCTCTGGCTGGAGCCTGCTTTCTTCTGGGCACCTGCTTCAGCCTCATCAGTGGCCCTCCAGGAAGCCTGGCTCTGCTCGAAAAGCCACCACAACTCCTTGCCACTAAGAGCTGCTTCCCCATGACTCAGGACTCCAGTGCTGTGTGCCACTCCTCTGCCTGTTCAGCGTGTCGTGTCTCCTCAGCAGCCTGACTCCCTCCTCCCTCCTGGTTCTCTCCTGACCTGTCTGGCTATCTTGGCAGTAGGTCACTTGTGAGCCTTACACTCAAAGGAATTAGAACACCAGGGGAAAAGGAACTGAAAAGCAGTAGAAGAAACAGTCAAAGATGCCTCACTGGTAGGTAGGAGACAGAGCAGGTAAATCCCAGAAATGGAGATTCTCAAATGGCAAATTCCAGAAATGAGCTCTCCAGCTCTGTGTAAGCTGAGGCTTAGCGCGAGTCTGTCTCCTTGTCCAACATTTGCACAGGCAGCAAGGCAAAGCAGGTGTGCTTCCACAGGTGGAGGGCACGGAGAGGGTGGGGCAGCGAACGGCTTGTATGAGACAGGCCTGCTGCCACCACCTGGGGCCTCTTCAGAGCTTTCAAGGTGACGGAGCGAAAACCGAGGCTGCACATGCATGTGGGCAGGCTGGGAAGGAGGAGAGGGTGGAGGAGAACCCAGGGGAGACTGCGATCTGGGAGCAGGGCCAAGAGAGGAGCTGGTGGCAGTCACACAGCGCAAAATAAAAGCCCTTGGACTGGACTCGGGAGGAAGAGAGTGTTGGCGGAAATGAACAAACAAAGCAGGCTGTCTGTGTGCCCACACCAGGTCGGTCACTACCTTTTCTGCATGACAAATATACATAAAACAATTCCCGAACAGCACGGAGCATTAGACACAACTAGAGGTACGGAGGGCTGGAGCCCGGGGCGTGGCGGTGAGGCTGGGGGCTGGTCAGCTGGCTTTGTACAAGGTGGCACAAAAGATGCACACATTCCAGTTCTTGGAAGTCCGCTTCCCTAGAGTCTGGAGTGCTGGGTCTGGGAGTTTTCTGTTGCAGTCTTTCAAGTCTGAGTTGGGCCCGGCTGGAGAGGCTGGCTCTGGCCACCCCCCTGCAGCCACCCTGCCTCGGGCTACACGTCGGTGGAGAAGTACAGTGTGTTCCGCTTCAGTTCTGCGAAGGAAATGGGGGGGTGCTGCAGGTAGTAGAGGAGGACCTGGACCTGTGGGAAGAAGGGAGACTGAGACCAGTGTCCTTGTCCTCCTGGTCCTCCCCACCCTATCAGTCGAGAAGAAATTGTCCATGGGCTGAGGTCAAGTCTGTGTTGCCCGCTCCCACTCCCCAGGCTGGCTCTGGCCACCTTCCAGTCCTCAGCAGCCCAGGTGTGTTACCCTCTTGCGGCAGTAGAGGGCGCTGCAGGGCAGCAGGTGGAGCCACTTCCCCAACCTAAGTCATGTGGTTTTAACCTTATCCAGAGCTGGCTTTGGCTTGGCAGCCCTGGGTCTTCCCAGGAAGCTTCCTGACCCTGGAAACAACCTCAGAGCTGCCGTGCGTAGGGACACGGCCCCCAGAATTTTCCTATACCACCGGGCTTGCTTTCTGAGACCGAGGCACTCCTGAGAATGCAGCCAGGCCTGGGACAGACACTCTGGACCCTTGGCTAGGCTCACACATTTTGTTTTAGCCTGAGATAGTGGGACTGTCCACAGCCCTGTCTCCCTGGTGGCACCCTACAGATCATCAACCCAGTTACCCTCAAAGGGAGAGGTGTGGGGACTCTGATCTGTTCTCTCTCTCTCCTCCTAAGGGGGCTTGTCACACCCCCACTAGCCACAGGCCTGGGCAGTGCTGGGGGTACCTGTGCCATGACATCATGGGACCAGATGTCTGCGGCCGACGTGAGGTGTGCTTTGCTCTCCACTTCTGAAGGTCTCAGTAATGTGGGGCCAAACACGGTCGCCAGGTTGTGAAGTGACATTTTGTTGATGGGCTCCTTCTCAGCAACCCTGAACAGGAGGGGAGGGAGAAGAGAGGTCACCTCTCAGCAGCCCCTTGGAGCACCAGGAGTCTTGGCCTCAGTCACAGGGACTCTGGAAAGGACTCAGAAAGGTGGTCACCGAGCCTCCCTCTCCTAGGGGTAGAGACTGCCTGATGGGGAGGGAACTAAGCCAAGGGACCAGGGCCCCAGCTCTGTCCCAGGATGCTGGAACAACAGATTCACAGCTTCTGGGCACCCTCTGAACTGAAGGTGAGCTGCCGGGGCCAGAAGGACCCACAGAGAGCACTCCAACCCCTTGTCTTAGAAAGAATGCCACTACTGTTCCAAGAACTTTCCCTATAATAACTCATGCTCATCACAGTCCTTTGGGGCAGGTACTGCCATAATTATCCCATTGAAGAGATGAAGAAACCAAAGTACAGAGAGGTTAAGTGACTTGCCCAAGGTCACATAGCTAGCAAGTGGTAGAGCTGGAACTTGAATTCAGGCAGTCTGCCCCCAGAACCCATGCTCTTAACCACTCTGCTGTTTACCCCGATTGAACAGTCACACTGTGGTAAGCAGCCAGGAGGAAGAATTATAGTGGGTGGGGATGGAAGTCCTGGATCTCGGCAGCAGTCTGTGTGCTGTGCTGTGCTGTGGCAGGGGCAACCTCAATCCCAGATGAGTCCAGGGGTCATCCTCCCACACCGTTCCAGAAGGGTCTGCTTCATGGGACCCCAGAGTTATCTCTTTTTGGATGGCCCCCTGCTTCTCTTGCATAACAGGCCGGATGCTCTGGAGATCCCTCCTTGAGTAACAGCAGGAGCTGCTCTCTGTGGCTGCTGTCCAGGCAGACCCAGTGTCACCAAACACACCAGAGAGGCTGTGGGTCTCCCTCTATCCTAGGAAACGTTTCTGGAGCTGAGACCCACCCGCTCCGAGCAGTGCCTCTCACCCCACCCCATAGGATACCATTATTCCCACCCTCCAGGCGGGAGCCATGGATGCGCCTGCTTTGGAAACGGGCAGGCAAACGCTGTAATGCCAGCAGGCAGCTG